GTATGTATGTATGTATGTATGTATGTATGTATGTATGTATGTATGTAATGTATGTATGTATGTCTGTATGTATGTATGTATGTTTGCATGTATTAATGTAATGTAATTAGTGTAGTGTAATGCAATGTATGTAACGTAATGTGATGTAATGTAATGTAATGTATTGTATTGTATTGTATTGTAAGGTCTGTCTGTCTGTATTGATGTAATGTAATGTATGTAATGTAATGTAATGTAATGTATTGTAATTTGATGTGATGTGATGTAATGGAATGTAATGTAATGCAACATAATGTTTGTAATGTAATGGAATGGAATGTAAGGTATTGCTTGGAAATTGAAGATGACATGTCTCTTGAAAAGTTCACTCAGCTCTTTTATGGTCCCCCCTGGAACATCACCACCAACGCCCGAACGGTTTCCAGCCCAAGGACCCGTTCACTCCCTTTCTCTCCGCCCATCCACAGAAGGAAAAGAACCTCGCAACTTGAGAGACAAACATTATGTTGCATTACATTACATTCCATTACATCACATCACATCAAATTACATTACATGAGACAAACAATTTCTTCAAATCCATGGCTTTCCTTCTACACCCTGGAAGGCTAACATGGACCTTGAACACCACTGGTTGGTAGAGGAAAACACTCTTCCAGGAGGCCATTGTCAGGGTCTATGTTAGTTTTCGGGAGTGTATTACTTTTTGCGTTTACAAACACGCCCTTACACCTCCGCCCTTTCACTCACATTTTTAGACGTGTTTTTCTGGTCTTTCGACGACAAATCCACGGTGCCCCCTGCTTTTAGGACCAATCCGGCGAAAACGACGATTGCCATTGGTCCACTGAAAAGTTGCATGCTAGCTAAGACCATCATTGACGTATGTCCCTGCTGTCGCATTTTGCCACCGGCCCTACCCAGGCAGACGAATGACATATTCCCCATTTCCTAAACCAGTACCCAGACACTCCATGTCTGTCATATATGCCTACATTGACCCCTCTGGCACCACCCCTGGCCTGATCGGTAGTCCTATACCAGTCCCATTAGTCGTGTCTGGGGTAGGTTTCATTCGCCCCTTCGGAGTGTCTGGACGAAAGGATGAACATCCCACTGCCAAGGTGTCAGTCGAACATGATTCTCCGAGACGACGGAGGGTGCACAAAATGGCACGACTTACTACGGTGTGCGAGAGAAAAACCTGGATGTCCATCTATACACCCATCAGGTTGGCTGTTCCGCCTGCTTCTTAACGCACCATGCTGGGAGAGTGGCACCCTGACCTCCTTTCACAAAGGCTAATCCTACAACTTCTTGAGTCGGCCTCCAGGTGCTGGGCATGCACCGGTCACCGCCCGCCCCAGACCGACGGTTGCGGCCGGACTCGCGGGTCCTGCTCCGTCCTCCGTTGGGCTCCGTCGGTTTTCGGCGCCCAAACGGTCCGACCGCTCCGATGGTCCGAGCGAGGGCAGCATGCGACCTTCCGCCGCCGTGGGTTTTTGTCTTCTACCATCGCTTCGGACCACGTCGGGCGCCGGAAACCTTTGCCTGGATTCTGTGGCCGGCAACACGTATGTCTGCACGCCCGACCCAGATACCAACAAGAGGGAGTTGATTCGGAGAGTGCGAGTGCTAGAACGTCCTAGGGGCCAGACAGCATGAAGACATAGTTGGCTGTCAACCAAGTGCACTTCTGATCCCTTTTCGAGCCTGCTGCCCGTGCCAGTCCTTGATATGTTCCGATGCAGACGGAGCTTGGCAACAAATCCTCGGTTTTTGCCCCTCAATCCTGTCAACTCAACCTTCCGAAGAAGCAAGTCTTCCACAGGTTCGACCGGACAACAAGGCGCACGCATTCTTGGGGCCCAAGTAGAAAACCTTGCAAAAGAAGCTACCACCAGGCACGCGCTCTCCCATCAACTCCAAACTCAGCCGATTGCACAACCGGAGCTCCAAGGCAATCCAGCAACCATGCCACGAAGACACCACCACGAGTTCCCCACCCATGGCCTGTTCAGACCCACGGTGGAAGCCCGACTGTCGGCCATACCAACGGGCGTCCGCTCCTCACGACCTTTCCTGGCCTTCGACCCGGCAGGTCACATTGCTGCCAAGAAAGGGTTCCAAGAAGCCATTGACGTCAAACGTCGACCTCAAGCTTGCTCCGTAACCTGGTCCCAACCTTGTCCTGTCACCGAACAGATGGTGGATCCGCCTTCCTCAAACGTGATGGCCGGCCACCTGTCAGCATCCAAGCGGCTTCCGTCCAGGACTCCCATGGATCTCAGGGACTCCTGCGCACGGTCTGTTGCGCCCCCTCTGGGTCCAACGTGCGATGGTCTTGCTTCCTGCTAGATGGTCTTGCTGATTATACGTGGACATGCGTATGTTCTTCCTGGCTGAGTGGCTGGCAGGAAAAATACCTGAGTGGCTGAGTTATCCTAACTGACTGAGTGGCTGAGTGGCTGACACTGTAGATCCTGACTGACTAAACATAAAAAATCACCACCCAGATTACACATACTCTATACGGTTGAGCACTTCACTTGTCAGAGGGTCTAAGAGTGTGGTATGTCGCTGCGGGCAGGTCGCCCTGAGTCTGGGGGATCTGTGTTAAGTCATGGGGCGTACGTCCCGGCGGGAGCGTATACAGTGGAGCCGCCGCTGAGGGACCCACAGGTCGCTTCTTCTTCTTCTTCTTCTTCTCCGGAGGAGGCCCTCTTTTCCTCAAGACCTGCCTCCGTCCTTTGAAGACTTGCCTGCTCTTCCCGTCTCCCTCTTTTGCCATTGGTTCTCCTCTCCTGATGGTGCTGAGCTGAAGCTGTGGGTGAGCGGTGACTTTGCAAGCCATCGTCTTCAAACACAGGGCCAAGTTTACAAAGTACTATAGACGGTAAGCACGTGGTCACGGGGGGTCTATGATGGTGGCAGCAGGTTGCTTTGGGTTCACCTGTTTCTCTTGTTTGACCAACTCCTGCAGGTCTTTGAGCCGTCCAGACACTCCCCACTGGATCGTGACCTTGAGCCCGATCTCCATGCACTTGGATGCGGAGGTTGGAGAATTGCTCAAGCCCTTCGGAGTGCGCAAGATGACCAGGGTGTCTGCACAGGAGCTGCGATTCTCGGGACATAGAGCGTTGGAACCCTTGATGGACCGTTGGAGGGTCAGAAACACCAACCCCATCCAAACGGAATCCAAGCCCTGAATTTCTGGCGGAGATCCCCGGACTTTTGCCGCGGTTTTTGTTCCCCAAATTGGGTGGGCCACGTCGCTAGGAGATCAACTTCGCCGTGAGTTCGAAGAAGATTGCAAGATGCTTCAGAGCTCTCAATGGCGTACTAACCATCGGCGGTCGCGAGCTCGAGGTGACTATTCGCAAAGCAGTTTCAGCCGAGAGGGTTGAACCAGCTGTTGGTGGCCTACAAGCTCATCAGCCGATGATTGCCAAAGACAACGCGAAGTCATCGATGTCGCAATTCCGCTCTGAAGGCATCCCACAAGAAAAAATCGACAGTGCGGAAGAGATGGGAGCCAACGCAAAGTCATGGATCGAAGGACTGCCACAAGAAGAAGATACCAGTACCGAAGAGATAGCAGTCAGCGAGAAGTCTTCGATGTCGCAATTCCGCTCTGAAGGCATGCCACAAGAAAAAATCGACAGTGCGGAAGAGATGGCAGCCAACGCAAAGTCATGGATCGAAGGACTCCCGCAAGAAGAAGATACCAGTACTGAAGAGATAGCAGTCAGCGAGAAGTCTTCGATGTCGCAATTCCGCTCTGAAGGCATGCCACAAGAGAAAATCGACGGTGCGGAAGAGATGGCAGCCAACGCAAAGTCATGGATCGAAGGACTGCCACAAGAAGGGGATACCAGTACCGAAGAGATAGAAGTCAGCGAGATGTCTTCGATGTCTCAATTCCGCTTCGAAGGAATGCCACAAGAAGAAACCAGTCGCGAAGAGATGGCAAAGTCACTGCTGTGGCAGCTACTCTCTGAAGGGATGGGACGCAGGTGAGATAGTCCTTGCTCACTTGAAAGCCATCCCGTTTGATGATTTCTGTGCAGTTTATTTTTACGTTGAACAGTTGAACCTCACTCGTAGACCCGCGGGCTGTTACCGGGATGATCGACAATTAACATCAATTATATCACCAATTGCATCAATGATCAGATAATTATCATAAACAAAACATCAGCTGATGTATTTGGGCACTTGTTTCGAAATGTACACTCACCCTGGTTGCTCCAATTCCCACCTTTCTGTATTCTGGGACCGTTAATTTTTGACCATCCCCATGAGGCCGAGGGCCGAGGTTTAGAGTCATTCAGCAGTTGTTTGTGGAACGTGAATGTGGCGGGACATTCACAAGCGTGATCGTTTGAATACTGTTGTTGTAGTCTAGGACGCGTCTCACTTACATGTATAGACCATCGCAGAGATCTTGTGCGCTTCTTTGAGGAGTACAACCTCGAAGGGAACGCCCAAGAGTTTCTCTTTCTTCGACCATGGCAGAGGATTTGACAAAAAGACGCCTACGTCCCAAATCGTTTCGCCACAGTGTCCGGTGGCTTTTCCAGCCTTCCCCTCCAATTGGAGGGGCCCGAACAGCCCGGCGTTTCGGGTCCTTTCTCGCCCAGATCATGGAGAGCTGGAGTGAAGGTTCCGCCGGGGCGCCCGAGACGTGATGCGTTCCGCGGAAGCCCCGCTGTTCGGTGCCGTCGATCGGCCGGGATGGGGGGGAGGAGGTGGAACGGGTCGAACCCCGAGGAAATCGACGAGTCGAACGAGTCGAACGAGCGAGTTGCGCAAGTGGTTGGGAAGACAGCCTCCACTCTGGGCCAGAGGCCAGAAGGTCTCTCCGGAACACGGCAGCGACATCTTCCGACTCTCGACCTGAAAGAACAACGGTCCAAAGCAGCAGACCAAACCAAGGTCTCTCGGTTTACAGACCAAACCCGCCGGAAGATAGCGGTCTCTTGGGTTCACGGCGCCCCTAGGGGGTGTGAGTCCCTCCCGGAGGGACGCGACGTGTCCGCGGTGTCCGCGACGTCGGCCGGTCGCGTCGTCTGAGGTGGTGGCCAGTCGCTTCTACCGTTTGGGCTCCGCCACGGTGGTCTTAAGCCCTGAGGCGAATGCCACCGAGGCGCCCAGAGGACATGTGTCGCGCACACTCGTCACCAAGCGGACGGCGAGGAACACAAAGACACCACGTGAAGAGGGGTGGCAAGCCCTGGAAACGGGGGTCCCAGAACGGGTGTCGATCAAGTTGGATGGAAATTCCATGCAGCCCGGCTTGATGAAAAGTGCTGGTGCAAGTCTAGGTCAGATCAGATCGACACCGTTCCATAACTTGGATGTGTCATATCCAGATTCGTTGCATCCCTAGGGATCCAAGTACTGTACCTTCTCATAAGGTGATTGGAGACACTGTTATGTAGGTTTGGAGGGTCCAAGTACCTTCTGAGAACGTACTTGGTTCCCTAGGGCATTAGCATCTAACCCAAGTTTCTTCATTGTCACTTTGCTAGGGACTACTAATGCGGTTGAGGCAGAAATGAGTAACCCCATCTTGTTGAATGCAAGAACAACTATAGGAGAGGGATGGTACATGATAGTGCCTTGTTCACCGACCGGAATGGACATTGTCCATTTGACTGGGTGTCTCAGTCTGCCTCCCAAGTCAGTCTGCAGTTTCCAGCCCGTTGCAGGAACAGTTGTCCCATGTTTACATACCTCAAAGCGTTCATCACCGAACACATGGATGTTTTGTATACCCATTTGTGACACATCGTTTTTTGGTCTCAACAAAAGCGCCAAAACGTATCAACAACAACTCCATGACGTCAATCTTACATATTCGTTATCCATAAAAAACGTAGAGGGCCCCGGTGTTCCAACGCTAGTTGCTTGGTTCTGTTTTCAGCAGGGAGGGCGGAGGGGGTCATTGGGAGGTTGCAACACAAACCATCACCCAAACTGCCCTTACCTGCGAAGTGGGCAAGCTGCCCTGGCCGTAATCTTGTATCTGAAGTTCCTCTCCTGGCCAATATCGGGCAAACATTGTTGGATCGGACTGAAAACGCTCCTCCAGTACTGACTGTTTCCTAAAGTTTTGCTGCTTTGTTTTGCTGAAGAATCGCTCGACCAGATGCAGAGGCTGCATCCTTTGGTGGAGGAACCTGGGAGAGAGAACCATATGGCGGGTGTATTTTGATGTAGGGACATATTTTCCTTATGACAGAGATTGCAGGGGGTCGAAGTGGGAGGTCTCCCAATTTCAATACGAATACACACCCATATTCCTTGTCTATCAATATTTGTTTTGTTCATATGCATCTGCTGCATAGCTCTTGCTAGCCGCTGTTTCATTCTTTCCCCACCGTGCATACACGGCACGTCAACAAGCACGGTGCACGGAGCTGGAGGTCCCACACGACAGACCTGGCAGTGCCCGCCACAGGTGTGTACGGCGCAGGTGGTTTGCAACTGGGAGGTGCCACACTGCAGCTTTCAGGATTACACACCGCCTGGCCCCAGGAAGACAGTGGGGGTGACTGACTGACTTCGCGGGTGACTTCGCGGGTCGGTGGTTGCGCATGTGGGGGTACAAATGGCGGAAACACATGTGCATACAGTATTTTACAGCTATTTGGTCCTTCCTTTTTTCTTGGACTTTTTGTTTAGTACATTTTAGTACCACGAGGGACATAGCCGTGACATAGCCAAATCGAATCGAGAGAAGATCTTCGTTGTCCCTCGCAAATAGGGGTGCCACTTCTGGCGTTTCCTGAATTTGGAGGAAGTCACAGGGTTCGGCTTCGTCGTTTCGTGTCTTCTTCATCCAATTCCGCCCGAGTCACGGACAGACCGAGTCACGAGGACGGTGTGTTTCTTGGACCTCCAAGAGTCGATGTCTGGCTCGCCCGGTGGCTCCGTGGTTGTCCACGTCCGACCCCGGGCGCTTCGACTTCGATCGGACCGAGGCTCGGGAACTTCTCGCCCTCCACGCGGAGATTAGACGAGGCGGCCGGACCGTCTGCTGGCGGAGCGCCGGGAGGGGAGAGGAGACGAAGGGAGACGAAGGGTTGTGTTCTTCTCTGGATACGAGAGTGTTACTACTACTAAGTGCTTTAGTGTTTTGGCATATTTGGGCGTTCTTTCCTTCCTACATAGCTGATTTATATGGGGTGCAAAAGCCGCACCAGCTTGGACCCGCTTCGAGCCCTTCTTCGTGCCAGGCTCGTGCCGCACTTATCCGCACTTGTCCGATTTGGGGCGCCCCATCTTTTGGCCAAAAGACAGATTCTTATGACCCACCAGGACCGACCTCCGAATTCGGTGTATCATGACCCACCAGGACCGACCTCGTCGCGTGCTCCGAAAAAGGGTCGGGTTCGGTCGATGTCAGGTGCGACAACTGCAGAGCGTGCCGGCCCGGAAGCTGAGGGGCGATTTGGGTCCCGGCCTGAAGTGTGGGGGTGGCCGCCTTGCGGAAGGGGCGGTGTGTGTATATTTTTGGGAGCCAAGCATTTATCGAGCTGCTGGCAAATCAGAACTCGGGTCCTTGTGAAACTTGGTTTGAGGTGGAAAGTGACATGAAAACCATGTGGTTTTTAAGGTGGATCCCCATCCTCACACTTGGACGGGCTCAACACCCTCATCTATATACCCTATAGTATCCATCCGAAAAGAAAAAGGACTCGATCCAATTGATGTAATAGCCTGAATCCCGAAGAACCACTGGTTTGCTAAGGATTTTACCAGCTCCTTGATTTTTGGAAAAGGTCTTTGAGGGCTAGTTAGGATATATGTAAGCACCTCAGCCCAGCTCAGCCTTGTCTCTTGGCTCAACGAATCAACGAAAGAGATGGAACCTCTGAAGCCAACTCTTGGAGAACCGTTTTGCGAACATCTCATTTTCAGACACTCGGGGGTCAACTACGACTACGAAACACCCACCCACACACACACAGCTTGGTTGGGGGTACTTGATTGTACTGCCAATGTCCTGCCATGTACCACCTTTTGTGATCCAAAACCTCCTTGCAAAAGAAAGCCACACGGTCACCTCCACAGGCAGCACCATCCCGTCCACCCGGTGGGTTCGGCTCCGAATTCTCCGGCTCAGACGGTGGCCGCCAACAAGCAGATCGACGTGACCGTGCTCTGGGGCATCCGGGCCCGGGACGCCAGAGAGACTTGCGTCGCCAGCCGCGACGGGCCAAGGGGCCAAATGGATGGAAAGCCAGGAAATGGGCCGCTCACTGGCCCGTGGAAACTTGCATCCTAGGTATGTTTTGTTCAACCAGTCTGCAATCTGCACATGGGTTCTGAAAGTAGGATAAGCTGCATCCTAGCGCTTTCTTCAAGGTGGGCAGTGTCTCTTGGGAAGATCCAAAGTGGTGCATCTATGGGTCTATGAGTCTATCCCTAAACCATGCCCTTGGGCCCCCTACCATGTGTTTGGTGCTGGTCTCATTTGCCTGTAAGTCTTTGGTGAGTACTTTCGACCGTCAAGTACCCACCATCCACTGTGAGTGGTAGAGGACAAGTACCCGACCCTGGAATGGGCAGGATTAAGGTGTACACTCTGACTTCACACATCACATGATTACGTGGATGGCATGGTCCCGTTGTTGGACGACGACGTCTTCCTTTACGAGTTCTAGGGGGGGTGCCATCCACGTAACCATGTGATGTGTTCGTCGGAGTGTAATTGTCATATAGGCTGGCCATGGTCAGAATCACTGCACATCTTTGATACACTTGACTCAGTCAGCGACGCCGGGCGTCACGCTGGCGGACACCAGAAATGAGTGAAGCCTAGTCCCACTTGGCCTTCTTGGGCTTGGCGCAGAACACATGCTCTTCATGACTTCATCTGAGAATGGTCTTGAAAGAGACCACAGCGGTGTTTTTGGGGTTTGGTTCGAACCGAAACATCACCGGTATTCGCGTCGTCCGTCTTCGTCCCTATTCGTCCCGGTTCATCCACGACCGGTCGTTCTGCCGGGTTCCCCGGACGTTCGGACGTTGGGTGGAGGTGCGCGGTCCGTGCGCACGGGTGGTGTCACCCTTCTCCTCCACGGAACTGAACATCCGCCACTCTCCTTCAAGCCCGCAGCGCTTCCGCACCCTTCGAACCGTCCC